CACACCCAAAAAAAAAAAAAAAAAAACTTTGTATATGACTTTTAAAACGAGGACAACACAGTATTTTTCAAAATTGTATATAGCGCATATGCATGGACAAAGCAAGCGTGGCACGTGTTTGCATAATGTTTAATTACAAAAAATATTTATTCTTTAAAAATCTTCAAGATTATGTCTATTTGCTGTGCATTTTCTTTCAGTTTGCTTTCTTTCCAGGGTTGGGGTTGGGATAAAATCTGTGTGTGTTTAGCACCTCTGGAAGACCTTACTAGAGCTCTGCAGTTTTCCTTTGGTTCCTTTGCCCTTTCTGATTTGGGTTGTGTCGTTTGCTGGCCATGGCCTTCATGCCTTGAATACCCAGCTCTTGATCAGGAACCAGAAGGTCAAGCTCTAAGTGCCATGGCCTGGTAAGGATGGCAGCAGGAATTTGTGACTACAGTTCACAAATAGTCCTGTGCCCAGCCCACTCCCTTCTGTGGTCTCAGGCCTTTTCCAACCTCAGGTGCCTGGGTCATACATGTAGCTGTAGGCTTCCTGTGCTCCCATCACATCCAGAGGAAGTGTTTCATAATTTCTTTTCCTTTTTTTTGTTTTTTTGTTTTTTTTCCCTTAATTGCTGCTTTGAGCCTCTTAGTAAGATTTTAGTCATGGCTCATCTCTGACCCTTCTCTGTGTGAGGGTGTCAAATAGAGTGATTTTGCTTTAAATATAAGTAAACAGCCATTCACTGAAGAGTGTCAGATTGTGAATTGAAAATGGCAGATACTGGAATGGCTTGTGTGTGTTGCTGTGGGCTCCGTTTGAAGTCAAACACCACTAGAAAATGATGATCCCGTCCAGGGCATTTACATAGGAATCACTGCGTTTGCTTCTTTTCTGTTGTCAGAAAATAGGAGAATTAATTCTGCATTTTTAGCTCTGACATCCATTTTTTATGACCTTTCTACTAAGAGCTATGTTAGAAGTAAAGGATGGTATTGGTTTTATCAACTATGTACCTGTTCAGGCCATTCTGGCTGTGTATTTTTCAACAGGTCAGCGTCCCTAAATCTGTCCGTTTTATACAACTATGTAGCGTGAACTAGGCAACTCGATTAAGAGGTCTGAATATGAAATACCAGTTTGGGCCGAGGACCTCTTTGTCTTCCTTTCAGTGTCTTGTGCCTAGGGCGTGTTTACCACACGTGAGGCAGCTTCGTCTGCTCTTGCACTGTACATCTTAATACACCATTGGGAAGTAGGCTCACTTTCCTCTGGCCTTTTGCCTAAGTTAGGCTTTGCTGAATCAACCCTACTTTTCCTTTTAGAAAGGTTGTTACATGAGATGTACTTGCAACTGTTCTTTTCCCATCAAAAACCAGTGAATGTTTGCTGAGTATATTATGCTGCTTCCTAAACCACTTGTCGCTTTAGGGTCAACTTTACCTGTCCCTTGTTCTTCCCCTTCTTGCCACCTCAGGTGAAAGTCTGAACTCAGTGTCTGCTTCTTCCATATTCTCTCTCCCTCCTTTCCCCATCATCCTACTTGACCTTTAATGGCATCAATCTTAAATGACATTTATGAAGACTAAGGAAAATTTTTTTAAAGGAAAGCTTGAATAAGTTCCTTTCCCTGGTAACTTAAGAGCAACCCAGAGTTGCTGCTTCATGTGTAGTGTTTTTCAGCCATCTTCCCAGTTAACTTGGCAGTGTCTAGGTCTGAGTGTCTTTCATCCTCTCCCTTTGCTCCTCTGAAACAAGACCCCAGAAGCAGTGTGCACTTCCTCATAACCCCACCCATGGGGGAGCAGTACTTCCTAGAGCTGCATTCTAGTTCCAGTGTCAGCATTCTACCCGAGGACACTGTGGTTGGGTGCATTTGCTAATTGGTATGACAAGGTGAACTGGCCTTTTCTACTTCCAAGCTTTTACTAGCAATCCTCATATTTGACAGGATTCCCAGAGTTAACCGCTCTCATTAGTAGCTTCAGTGCCCCCAGATGGGCTAGGCAAGCCATATTATAGGACAGCTTCCCTACTACATACACCTACCTGAGTCTGTCAGAAGGTTTAGTCAGCACAAGGGTCTCTTTTTGAGGTCAGTGACATTGTTTTCTGAAGAGTGCATGCTTCACCCAAACAGTTCGCTGAGCAGCAGATGGACTTTCAGTGATTTACAAAACAATTTTGATCCAAAGCTCAGGACAAACCATAGTGGTAAAATGGAGTAGTGTATAATATCACTAAATTTTGTGTAATTTGCTGCCACCCAGGTTGTATGGTTTTATGTGTGTTCAAATAAATATATTTAATACATGTGTATACATACACACACATACAACAGATCCGAGACTGACTTGATTTGAAATGGCTGAATCTACAGTGTAGTGCATGGTTCAGTCATGATTAGGAATTCAAATTTAGTAAAAGAAAAGGATATAATGTGACAAATTCTTATAGCTACATATCCCGGTATAGAGCACTTGGGGAATGGGATGGGGTGGGTTGGTGAGACAATCAGATCGGTAAATTGATTAAATGCTCCTAACCCTGTAATTTTGTGCATAGAGCACCCTGTGCTGTGGAAATAACTGTTGTTAGATTTTCATTGTAACTGGACTGTTCAGGTTGCCCAGAGGGAAAGAACATTCCTAATTCTAATAAAATAAACTTTTATTTTGTTATTGCATTAGTTACTTATGTTTATTTTTATAGTTGAAAACATGATGTATAGGTAGTTAACTGCCTATATTATGTGCCTTATTCACTGTTCCTGCTTAATAGAAAAGTCAAGATTTGGTTCAGCTTCTTTGCAGGGAACTGTGAATGAGAACAGCCCAACACTTGGTTAATGGAGCCTTCAGAACATTTTCTTCAATCTTTTCTAATTTGTCTCAAGCATTGAATTTAGATTGCTGTTCTGTGTTGTACCAATAATATCAGATGCTCTTTATCTTTGTTAATTTTTAAAAGGTATTTGAAAAGTCATTTTCAACCTTAAAAAACCCTTTAGTGTTCCATTTTGCTCACAAGCTCGTATTTCCCACAGAGATGAGAGCAGAGCTTGTAAAGGTTTCAGTGTGGAAGGTATTTATTATTGGTACACTGATGGAGACCAGATTTTAGGACAGTTTAGTCTTACTGGATAGATAAAGATGAGATTTCATTTGTTAATTGCAACTTCTAAGCACTTTAACTTACACATTCTAAAACAAGTGGAATAGAGATTGTTATATGAAAGATGGAAATAAGTATGAGGTTGAGTAACTTGTTCAGATTTTCAGTTTCTTCTGTTTGTTTGTTTGTTTGTTTGAGACAGTCTCACTCTGTAGTTCAGACTGCCCTGGAACTCACTGTGTAGCCCAGGTTGGTCTTGAACTCTCAGCGATCCTCCTGGCTCAGCCTCCGAGTGCTGGGATTACAGGCATGTGCCACCACGCCCGGCTCAGTGTCTTTTTTTGGGGGCAGAATCAGCGCTTGACTGCCTCTTTATATTGTTTTTTCATTCTAGTCTCCGAATGACATAGCTTTCAGAATCAAGAAAGGTGGGTCTTAACTACAGTCGTGTACTTTAACATTACATCAGTGAGTGATGCTTATCGCTGTTGCTAAAGCACTGCTGTATACCATCCCTGATCTTGCAGAATCTGTGACTAATGTGGTCCTGTATTGTGCCTAATGTTTAGAAACCAGGCATGAGTAAAACAGTGGGCCTTTGCATCTTGCAGACCACATGTACATGGTTTACATGATTTGATTTGACAGTGCCCAACTCTTGTTGACCTTTTGTAGAGAAATTTGAATGGTCTACTGGAACTTGTTGCCGGAGGACTTACTTTCTCGTGATAGTAGCTATCAAACTCATGAAACATTTGTAGCTGATGATTAGAAAGGTGCAGAACAACAGACTCATTTGACCTCTGCATTTACCCTGAGAACTGGGTGGCCTTTGGAGCTTTGAGAAGAGAATAAGCAGTGAGCATTATGGGAAAACCTTGAATTCAGAAACAAAAATAAATGAGGTCAGATTTTCTTCTCTGCCCACCCCCTTACCGGGAGTTGGACTCAGGACCTTGTGATTGCCTGGCAGGCAGGGCACCACTGAGCTCAGTCCCCGGCCCTTTCATATTTTAAAGATTTGCTTCTCAGTTACTCAAGATGAAGTAGCCGATTTAGAAATGCTCACTTGTAAGTCAGTCAAATACCTGCTGTGAGACAACGTGTAGATTTATTTCTTTTTCTGTTTTGTGTATCTGTGTGTTTCTGTGATTCAAATTTTAGGACAACTGTTCTTTTCCTAAGAAGTAGGATGGGAAAAAAGAAAGATTCTGAGGAAAAGCAGTTTTCAGAGTGAGTATGGTTTGGGGTTATAATTTGGGACTACTATCAGGGTAGTAGCTAACTAGTTTACAAATCAGTCCCGTGGTGTAGTAATCCTAACAATGCCAAAAGAACAACCACACTACTGTTGGAATCTAGGGCCACCAAGTAACTCAGAAGTCTCAAACTCAGATGTTTTTAAGAGCCAGGGGAGCAGAAGTAGACCACTCTGACCTCAGGAAACTGGCTCAGAAAGTTACACCCTGAAGCAGGGTCATGCTTGTCTGATTATGTATATTCATTTTATTATGTCCTGTTTTATAGGAATAATTGTGAAGATCATTAAAAACAGTTAATGAAATGTGTATTTAGTAAGCACACTTTACGCAAAAGTGTGGAGCTTT